GGCTTGGCAAGCGCTGCACAAAAATGAGAAAATCTGCACAATAGTTTGGAGTGCATGGATGGCTCGTGCGGCAATAGGCTGCCTTGTCCGTGCAGCCAATGTGTAACGCGGGTGGCGGCCGTGGGCAAGGGAATTTCCTCAGCAGTTCAATTTCCTCGCAGGAAGACGAGGCGAAGCAGATGGCGCTGTTGGGAGACAAGTACGACGTTCCCTTACTCTGCCAGCTATCGGACGGGATACTTAGCAAGAGCGCGGAAGGATTCTACTTCGTGAAGCCCAGAAATCTGCCCGATCAAACTGAGGACCAGATGCAGGTGGCGCAGTGGCTGGGTGTCGCAGAGCGTCTGGGAATGAAAGAGCTCCGAAGGGAGTGCCAGTGCGTCATCATGAAAGACTTGTTGTCAAGCGTGTGGTCGAACAGGATGAGCCACGAAGTGGACGTGGCTCTCGAGTCGCTGAAGATCCACGGAGCCTCGGCAAGGAGCATGGGAGAGATCACGGCAGCGACTTGGGATTTCGTCTGCAAGGGGGGCGTCAACGTGGGTGCATTGAATAAATTCCACTGCTTCAAGTGCAATAATGTTGTGAGCGTCACCGCAACTGACAACCTGGAGGACACCGAGTGCCCTTCGTGCAAGCAGGTCGGAGGCTTGCATCACAACTGGCCGAACTACTGCTCCCACAAGGCGATATTCCTGAAGTTTCTGGAAAAGTACAGCACATGCGAGGCATGAACATGAGATTGTGAAGGCTCATCGAACATTCGGGTGCACCTCAGGAACGAGTATCGGATTTCATGCCGATCTGAATCCTCTTGGCTGTACGAAAAGACTTTGATGGAAATAACGTTGATGCAAACACCCTCGCACATAAGATATCTTGTAAACTTTTCGATATCAAAGGCGGATTTCAGTCCTTCCGATTTCTGAGAAATACCATTTAGTTTGCTACCCATTTGGTATGAGTAGAAAGAGAACTGGGGTTTGTCTGCAAATCTTCTCTCGGACTAGAATTAACAGACTACACTCCGAGGTGGTTGATTGAAGTGATAACAATGACATTGAGGGGCCAGATGATTCCATGCATAGGTTGCGTTATAACGTCATAAATGAATACAGCATTATTGCGGCAATGCAATGCAGAATGCTCAAAAGTATTGATGCAAATTTTACATCACATTGGCAATCATTTTCCATGGGGTTGTGGGATTCAAGTGTGCATTCTGGATAACGGTTTTGATAGATGTTCTATGCAATCATGGCTTGCTGTACGTTGTTTTCATGGTCAAAGCCATGACGTGATAAAATGAAACAATCGTAAGATTGGATGGCGGGAATTTCTATGATAACTCCTTGCCAGGGTTGCAACTGTTTCAGCTATCGGCATGAGAACATGTTAAGTACTGTTGCGCCATAAGCCCCCAAGTCCCGCTCCTTTAGTGTTTGCCTTATGTAACAGATTCAGAGTATATTTTTGCACAACATTACGCACAAATATGCGAGACACTGACGAAGGCAGGCAGGATCGAGGGTTGGCGATCCCTGAACGGGAATTGTATGCTCGAGTCCGCGACAACGGTTTACAGCCGAGGCAAAAGGGCAACAGACGTTCTGTCCTTTATATCAGTCCGTTCATCAACATCTTTAATGCAATTCCTAGTGCTTCATCATCTTGTCATGCACTCAGTTATTAAAAACAGTCAATCAGTTCTAGCCGTAACAACACCATATTTTGCTCATTTTTGCGCTGGTCACACATTGTGCAGCCAGCCTTTTCCTTGGCTGGCCGTTGGTTCCCCTCGGCAGGTTGTGGAGGTGTACCTCTGGCCGCGGAGTTGCGCCACCAAGTAAGAAATGGAAAAAAGCTGAAAGAGAAAAGAAAGCAAGAAACGCTGTCTACGGAGACCTGCGCCTGGCAGGACAGCACAGGCGCGGGAAGTGGGAGTCGCTGCGGCCAGTTTTGCATGGTCGTGGCGATCCGTTTGAATCCTGACGCTGTCTCAATGTCGGTGCTCATTACTGACTCCATGAGTGACTGCTGTGCCCGCGTCGTGACAAGGCACCGCCATCACACGAATTAATGTACAAATTTATAATATCTCGCATGTGGACACTTAAATTTATAGGTTTAGGCACATAGTTTCGACAGAATGCTTTTTTAATACTTCGAAGTGCGATAGTTGAAGTTACAAGCTCAATTTCAAATCCGCCGCGCAGCCTGTTAGCGGGTTTCACCGCCGCCTCCTTACGTGTGCATGAGGATCCGCACATCCACCCACGCCATCCATCCGACACCCCAGCAGGACACCCTTGGAAGACAGCTTCTCGCACCAGCACTTAAGTACTAGGCACCCCAAAATCGCCCATTTATAAATCGCCCCGTATTACGCCGCTTTCCTCCTGGAGGTACCGACGATCGCCGAGGCGGAGCGCCGAGGAGCCTCGCGGTGGGCGCCCAGGGCGCAGCCCGCCGGGCGCCAAAGACCCGGAGAGCGCTCCGGAGGCCGATTGGCGGGTGGGGACCGTCGGGCGCGATCAAGAGATTGGGTTTTCTGGAGAGGGAGTTCCGATTGCGGGCGTCGCGCTGTGGCGGAGAAAACGGCTGGGTCATCGCTGCGTCCTGTCGTGGCTCGACGCCCGAGAACTGGGACGCGCGGGCGCGGCGGGGGGGTGGATTTGGAACTTCGCGCGATCTGAGGGGTGGGATGGGGGGTTCAGGTGGTTGGTGTTCACTGAATTGTGGAAAAGAGCCGTCCAGCGAGCCGGCACATGCGCTCCGGCGCCTGCGGAGCTCGCGGCGCGGACGCTTGACGTCCGCCTTGGACCCAATCGTGGTCCCGCGCGATGGCGACGGCGTCGATTGCCGGTGCTGGGTGGGCTGCGGGCTTCCGGCGGCCGTCCCGGATGCTTTTGAGTGACGTTGAGAGGGGGTACGCGCGAGTAGGTGGCGCGCAGCTGTGCATGCTTCCCTGGGCTTTGTGCCTATCCCGTGGCTCGCAGAGGGCCGACCGCGCCGCCCTTTAGTGCACGGCAACCGTCCCCGCCCGTGATTTCGTCCAGGGCAGGCACCACGTGGCCGCGGCGATGCCATCCCAGGCCCGCGCGCCCGTCCTCCCCTGTCGAGGATCGGGCTTTGGCCTCCGATGCCGCGGCCAGCTGCCCCACGGGGCAGCCGGAAAACTGGGGTGTGGAAGATGGCACCCTTACGTTGTTCATTCACGGCGGACTATTTCGCCTTTCGAACCCTGGTACTTTGGGATTTGAGGTTTAAGGATGCCAGGCATCTGAAGCAGCTCTGATTGCGTCTTCGGTCACATGACGAAGCTTGGGCCTTCCGGCTGCGATGTGCTGACATGCGATATCCGAAATGCAGCCACCTGGCACACCGCCGCTTGCTTTTATTATCCCTTTAGTTGCCAGGAGAATGCTCGGTAGAATACAACAAAGTCTCGTCATTTGTGCTTGGATCGTGTTGGGTGCTCATTGTTTGACACGATTCTCTTCTTTGTTACGATGAATCCTGTACCAATGCCTTTTGTCGCCTTAAAGGTGTAGGCATAGTGGAATTCCGTTTGTTGGATTTGTGTAGACACAAGACAAAATAAGGCAGTGCACGTCAGCAGGCCATGACAAGCACAGCAGCATCCAATCATTGGCTGTTTGTGTTCATTTCGACCATGGTGTCAAACCCTGTTTGTCTGGCGTTAAGTAAACCTAGCGGTACAGTTGCAGCGCTTTCACCATTTTGCTCTAATGGAATCAGAGGATCGATGCACATGGCTTTCACACTGTGCATCGTCCTCTCAGTCCATAAAGATACAAAGCCCGGAAGGGATCAGGCAAGGCAATAGCTCACACACACACACACACACCACCCCTCCACTCTGCCATTTACTTGCAACCTTGCCAAACCTGGGGTCTGAAGATGGAGAATTCATTTGCCAAATCTGATCCACAGTATTGAATTGTGTGCTGGTAGTTGTTTGCTTTGCTGTGGACCTAATAGGAAGCCACTTTGGGCTTGAGTTGCCCTCCAGTTGACACCATGTGAGGTGACAGCGCAGTCCCACAAATGTCCAAGCTGGGGTGTACTTACAATCCCCTGGATACTCGCCCCCACGTGTCTCTTTGGTTTGGCAACATAACAACGCAACAGTGCTTGCCAATTCTTGACCTGCAGAAGCGGCTTCCCTATTAGGTCATTCTCCACCTACGTCACTGCGTACACCCTGTCAGTGATCGAAACAGCTCCCATTGCGCAAATCCGGCCATCCAAAACAGTGAGACAGTCCACTCTTTCAATTGTTTAGGATGGCCAAGAACAAAGCAACCTGATGGCGACTCATGCACGTGCCAGCACATTTGCCAATAGAACCCCTTTGCTCAAACGTGCCTGAATGTACTCTAGAACTTGAGTCTAATAACTTGGCGATTGTGAATGCAGAAATCGCGCCCTGCCTCTTGGGAGGCAATAATGCTGGCAGACGGAAACCTCAAATATGGCTACCTCCCCCTGGACGTGGATGGCTACGAGGAAATGTGCGATGCCTACCTGGTGGTGGCTGGCCAGAGGTTCCCTGTGCACAGCGCTGTCCTGGGAGTTCACTCCCGGCTTCTGCGGAAGATGACCATCGACCTGAGGAACAACAGCGCATCCTTGGGTAATGATGGGAAACTGGAGATTCCCCTCGATGATTCGGTCTCTGTCAGGGACGTCACAATGATGTTGGCTTTTGTGTATGGCCATCGTCCGGAGCTGGAATCGGTGAGCATGATGCGTGCCTGTTGGATGCTGAGCCAGTGATCCCTTTTTACTCAGTGGCTGCAGTTAGTTGCGAAAGCATTGACTCGTTACCATTGGAACCTGAATGTTTTCCTTTTGGCCGATGCAGGCCCTTTTTGTTTGACACAGGCCCCACCTGTCCAATGTGGAACACGTTGTGGCTGCAGATGTAGTGTGTGTTGTTCTTTTGCTATGTCCGCAAGTTTTCCATTTTGAGCCCATGGTGTCGCCATTCACCAAAGCAGAGACTGTGGAAGTGACATTTCTTTGCAACGTCTTGCTTTAAATGCCAGCCACTAATGTGTGACACTATGCCAGCTTCATATGGTTCATACTACGGAAGTAGCATTTGTTACAGTCAAGTTGGCTTGTTGCTCAGATGCCCCTCTCTGTGGTGCTCCCTTCTTAGTTGCCGCATCATAGTCTGTGTTTGGATTGGGATATACCGAAACTCTGGTTCTGCACCCTTTCTGCTATGCACCCCTTCAACAATAGCACCAATGGCACAACTCAGACAGGTGATGCTGCCTTTGAGCATTTTTGGATGTCGATTGGTCTTAACCAAAAGAACGCTTTTAGTTAAGCACTGGTTGGGAGTCAAGTCTCGTGGTTTTGCAACTTGTCTAGGCACTGTCGTTTATTCTTGCTTTCGGAACTCATCCAAACAACCTGAGCAAGAGTAATGTTATGTATAATGTATAATATATTGTATAATGTATATATGTATAATGTATAATGTATTTGGGCAGAAAATGCCCTGAATGGAGTCGATTGTCGCACTGTGCTTCATGAAGCCCAGGGCCTTGCATTGTCCAGGCCACTGCCCTACAATGGGGACTGCGGTTAGCAAAATGCTAGCATGTTGCATGAAGTTTAGCCCTTGATTGGAAGCCGATGCCGTTTTCTGAGGTGACAGCCTCTGACAAGCTTCTTAAATATGTGTCCAACACATGTTGTAAGTCTGTTTGTCCAGAGCAACAGTGGCAGCGCACATCGATCCATCCACAATAGTGCTTGTTGGTTCCCAATCAGAGAGTTGTGTGATATCTAGGCAACGGCATTGCAATGAAAGTCACATTGGAGCTGCATTGAATTGCCTTGTGTCGCTACAAAATATGTTGCTGAACGACAAATGGCGTTGGTTGCTGCAGGCTGAAGAAGCGAGCAGGATGGTGATGATGGCCGACAAATTTGACATGCCAGGCTTGTTCCAGGTCTCGGACAAGAAGATCTATGAGCTCATGGACAGGATGCACTTCACCCTGAACAGCTTCAAGTCCGACCCGTGGCTGGATGCGGGCCACTGGCTGGGGATCGCCGATCGCCTGGGCATGGAGAAGCTCCGCAGCCAGTGCCAGCACATCATCCTCAGGGACATCGCCGACGATCGCGCCATCTTCACCCAGCTGCCCGGCGTGGCTAGCCCCGGACTGGAGAAGGCCCTGTCGTCTTTGGATGGCCATGGCGTGACTGCAAAGTCCATGGGGGAGATCACAGCGGCACTGGTCGATGCGTTGTATCGGCGCGGGTTCTTGCACTGCAATGAGTGCAGGGCATGCTGCACGAACTGCGGGCGCATGAACGACCCATCTGTGACGCGGGACTCGTTCAATTCCACATCGTGCACTTATCAGTGTCCCGGCTGTCGCCACCGGACGCCCATCGTTGCCAAGAAGCATGCCGGCAGTGGGATCCTGACCAGAGATGACACATTGCAATCTCTGAAGATAATTCAGTTTAAGACGGAGTAGAGGGGGAGCAGAGGGGCTGGAACCTGTCTTGCTTTTTTGACATCAAGAGATGCTGGTCAAGCATGCATGAACGATCGGCCTTGATGGAGTTATAGAGTGAGAGTTAGCAGCAAAGTATTGGCAAGTGACAAGTGACACGAGTGCGAGAGGGAGCTGGGCGGCGCACTGGGCCCCTTTGCCATTGCACTTTGAATACAAGTGGCCTGTGTCCAGGCGCGTCTTCTAGACAGATTGTTCCTCTGATGTTCCTTCATCGCCCACGTCCATGGATCGTTGGGAGCATTGGAGTCTTTTTCCTTGATTTGAATAGATTGCACGAATTCATTGCAAACCCTGTTTGGGAATTTATCCTGATATTGGGTTCCTCACTGTACCAATTACTGAGCATCGTTTTCTCTGGCACGCTGGTTGGGTGGCAGCTGTGCCTCCTTGCCTACGTTTGTAATAAATATGAATTTGACCACACAGTGACCCGTTGGGTGCTGTCTCCTGTATCTTCATGTGTTGTTTTGCAGGTGCTGAATGATAACTCCAACCCTGCTTCTAGCAGCGGCACAGGTGGTGATCCGCCAGTCGGACATGGAGCCAGATGAAACAAGCCATAACAAACCAGCTGCTTTGCAGCCCCAACACATGTATATGTCTGCAGCTGTCTCCATTGCCTTGACAAGGAGTGAACACTGACATGGTGAAGTTGTCAAAACGCCCAACACCAGGAGTGTCACCAAACGGGTTGACAACCCATGTACGTGTTTGTAACAACAAGGCTAGCATGTTACCGTGACCAGCTCCAGAGCAAAAGCTGGCGAGGCTGTGCCCCATGCTGGAAAAGGTGGTGTGGAAATCACACAAGGCAGGCAGAGCCACGCAATATTGTGCACTGAGCATGGCAAGTACGCCAGCACCGCACAAAACCATAAATCTGCCAAAATCACCATGGGACACATCACCTGCTGCACTTAAAGGCCACGACTCTGGCAGCAGCTGGGCGCGTTAAGGAGTATATGGCAAAGGAGCATGGCGTCGGTTGGACCCCGCCCAGGAATTGGAGCAAGATAATAGCGTTGTAGTCGTCTAGTTGGCAGGTGGAAACTACAATTTGGTTTCGTGCTTAGAGTTCCTTCATCGCCTCGGAATGAATGAAAGATAAGTAAACAAGTAAAACAAAGGCTGCGATTGCAACGGTAAGCGTGCAGCACCCGCTGCATTGCAGGTTCTGTCCGCCTTTGGGCGGCTCAAGTGCGCAATGAGCCTTTGGGCTGCGGCGACCACGTGGGTACGGGAGGCATTCACGACGGTCACACGCGGGGAAGACACTTCTGTCACTCACAATCCGAACCCATCATTACAAACGAAGTGAGTGGTACTTATAGTGCGATTGTGCGACAGTTCATGAGCTGCTGCCTCCAGAATACCCACTCTGGCCACTTCCACGAGCTGGCCGGGTTCGTGTCCCTTTCTCACGCCAAGTTTCTATTCCCGCCGCCCAGACCAACTATGATCCATTGCCGACCAGCCCAGCAACTACCCGCATACACTACCCACTCCCACTCTCCCTCACTCCCACACTTCCTCAGCTCCTATTCCCGCCGCCATCCCCAACTATGATCCAATCCCAAAGCCGCCCCCGTTCGTTCACTATAGCCAACTCCCCTTAACTGGCTCCCCTATCATACGTACAGCACCACTCCCCACAATTCTCGCGCGCGTCTTCCCGCCTTCAACATGGTCTTCGGCTTTGATTGAAACGACTGGGAAAATGGCGCATAAATTGGCACGCCTGGGATTATCTTCGTGCTGATGTGCCGCCCCCGAGCGGCTTCCCATCGACGCCCGCCCTTGTGCACGACAGCAAACCCGCGGCTCCGCCGGCGCCTTCGAGGGGACTCCGAAGGCTGACCGGCGGCGGCCGGCGCCACGCACGGCCAAAACGGTGAGCCCCACAGCCCTATGCCGCTATCCCCCACTCTTGTTGGGCATCGCGCCCAGCCCTCGCATCCCTTTGCCATGCCGAGGCGGGTTTTGCGGCGCTGTGCCGAGTGGCGACTGGACAATCGTTGGTCATTTTGGCGGGACGCTCTCGCGTTGTTCGGTACCGGCGTTCTGAAGATCACCGCGGGCTCCCGCGGGCGCCACGCCCTCCAAGGTCGAATGAGGAGCAGTGTTGATTTGACATGTCGACAAGTCATGTCAGGGGGCGTGGGGCCCAGGGGGAGGGTCGATCGGCGGCCGCGCCCCGCGTCCTCGCGCCGAACTGCGCCTTGCGGCGGAATTTCGCGATGCTAGTAGTTGCCTGCGGCCTGCGCTGCCGATGGGCTGCATCGAATGCCTGCCATTGCTCGTGTGATTGGCGTTAGTGCCAAACGGGGCCTGATTGCTCTTTAGCCGAATTCACGAAGGACGGTACTGGACGTGTCCAGCAGACTCTGTGAGCCGTGCTCCACTACACGCGTGCGCCAGCCCCTTTCCACAACGCGACGCGTCGCCGGAGGTTGCTGGTCCTCCGGGGCGCAGGAGCCCATGGTCGATGCAGAGGGCAGCACGAATGGATCGAATCCCCCCGACTGCAGTTTGTCAGAACATAAAAAGAGCACTGCCATTGCGCCTATTAGACAGCGGCGGGCGCAAATTCTATGCGCAGTGCTTTAACCGCTCGCTAACCGTTTTGGTTGATGTCGTTGGCCAGTGGTATCGTTCCCATCTCTGCATGGCCACATGTGCCGTTTACCCCACTCGGTTGCCTGTGATTGGTTCCCTGTGCGCTGGGCTTGGCTGGTGGTCAGTGTTTCAGCGACGAATGTCCAGCTGGGCGTGGTGGTGATCCAATTTGAACAAGGGTGTCTGGAGGTCGCCTTCTGAGGACAGGCGCTGAATGCGCTGCCCCATCGCATCGAGCACAGCTCCTCAACATTGCAGCAAGACTGCAATTATTGTAGGGACATGAGGTCTGCTCTGGTCACACGGAGTTTTATTGCTGGGCAGAAATTGGTGCTGCATGAGCCGATGATCTTAACTGGTGGATACTATATCCAAGCTCGCTGGCGCCGGGGCTTGTAGGTGGAAATGAGCTCATCATAGCCTTTTGGTGCAAGGGAACTGTTTTGCCATGTTCTGGCACATATGATCTTAAGGATCTTGGGCATGTTGGGTTTCAGAACTTGATTGCCAACTAAGCTGAAGTTGTGGATACAAAGTGCTGCACACGTTATGCCATTTGGGAACATGTGCTGG